CCACCTCCAAAGGGAATAGAGGCCATCAAGGTGTTCTTCCAACTGGGGTCCCAACGGCACATTTGCACCCCCGTCACCTCTTGGGTAGTGAAGGAAGAGGTGTCCACGGCGCTGGCCCCTCCTGTCTCAGACCTACCTGTCCCTCCTGCCACCCGTTCTTCCCTCTCAGTTCCTAACCTTGCTCTCTCCACAGCAGGGAGCCTCCCAGGACACCCCCCCCCCCCACCTCTGACCCCCTTTCCAGCCACTACAGCCTGTCTCTTTCCTTTTCGCAGCCAAGCTTCTCGAAAGGCCTGTCTACACTTGCTGTCTTCCTTCCTAACCTCCAATTTCCTCTTCAACCCACTGCTTCCTGACTTGTTCTGCTCCGTCGAACGACCCTACCTCAGGTAATGACTTTTCTGTCGCTTAACTCTGGACACGTTTCCAGCTCACAGACACACGGACACAGGGACACATTTTCATTCTTCGCCCTCACAGGGCTTTCGGCTCTGGTTCCCTCCTGTTGACATATACTCCCCAGAGGCTTCACAGAATCACCTGCTCCTGGCTTCCCTCATTCTTAGTTTCTCCTGGGGACTGGAGTATCCACAGCTCTCCTGTCTGGGAGCCTGCCTCTTGCTGTGTTACCATCTTGCCAGGTTTGAAGCCTGGCTGAACCTCCTGGTGTTGAGGCCTTGGGGTTAGCAGGTTTTCCAAGCCACGTTTTTCTCACCTCTGGAAGAGGGTTACTAACCTTTATCTGGCATGTCAGGTGGGATGTGTTGCAGGTAAGAACCAGACACTAGTTGAGGGACTTGATATAAGGTCAATAAAATGTTCGTGAGAAAATCGGAGTCCCCATCAGCGTTTCTGACAGGTTAAGTTCCCACGGGGAGAACCAAAGAGGGAAGAAAAACATGGGGGGGGGTGGGGGGGGGGGGGAAGAGTAGCAGAGAAAGAAAAAGAAAAAAAAAACAGTAAGAAAAGACATTAGAGGCTCCCGAAAGTGGGGAAGGGAGCCTTAGAAATTATTGAAATCTACCAAAAACCCATCCAGAGAAAGGTTTCCTCTTGGGTCGGGTACGGCTAAAAGAAAGTAAACAGGAAAAAGGTTTTAAATTGATTATCCCAGTGACAAATCCCAGGAAGCTTTCAAATCAAATTGCCCCATTTTGGGTTTTTAACTCCTTCTATCAAGTTTAACCTCTTTACCTCCTGCATCCTGGTTAAACCCTCCCCAGCCCCCCTCGCTGGTGATTAAGTCCCGAAGGTACACGCAGCCTTTCAGCGAATGAATGACCCACAGAAAGCGCCCTCCCCCTCCCCCCCCAGCTGTGGTTTTCAGTTTTATTCCACTTTCCGCCCTTTCCCCTTAATGAACACAGGGCTAATCTTGGGCCTTGTCAAGGAAGAGGCTGCAGACGTTAATGAGGTAGCTGCTGGATTCCAATATTCGTCTCATAAGGAGCCCTTCTTTGTCTGTGAAGGAAAAACACACTGATTATCATAATGAGGTGAACTGGCGTCCGCAGGCTGGGGCGACCGGTGCTTAGGCCACACTTCTAATTCTGGTGCTGGAGCCTGGGTTTCATTTGCTCCTCATTTAAGTCTTTGCCTCTGTCCCAGTGAGGGGTCCATTGAGTGGGGTTGAAAGTTGAAGGCCGCTTTGGGAAGCCTGCCGCAGATAGGGCTGCTTTGCAGAAAGTCCCTTTGTTCAACTCTACTACACACAGATGTCGCAGTGGTCCAGGCGCTCCATGCCTCCTGGATTCAGTCTCCAAAAAGCCCGGGAATAGGGGTGCGCGTTTCCTATTAGAGCATGCACCTGACCTGTTTCAGGACTCACTGATCATTAAAAACTTAATAATCTACCTGTAGAACCCACGGAATTATCCCAAGGCCAATACCCATGGAATACCCCATCCCGGTCAAGAAACAGATGGATATTGGTGCCCCAGAGCCCACTCCCTGCCCCCACATGGAACGGCAAGATTTGCGGTTCACATTTGGCTCCCACATACTGCTGATCCTTACCTGAGTGTCAGGGGGCCAGCGATTTGTCAGGATCACCCAGTGAGCCAAGTGCACAGAGGGGACTACGCTGATCTGGCGACAGAACGGATAGTCCCTGCTTTTACCTGTTTCATATCCCCCCCCCATATGTCCTTTGCCCCAGTGGAATTGCTCCCCCACCCCAAGCTTCTGTCCCGATCTTTTGAATGCGCCAGAGCCCATCGATATCTTTAGAGCAGGTAGCCCCCCAAGTCTGAAACCTGCCCTTCTATGTCCCATGTTCGGGGTTTTTCTCACCCCAAGGCCTTTCAATCAAGATTAGATCACTCCCAGTTAATCAACAGACTCTAGCCAGACCTTCAGCCAAATGGAAAACGGTGGGAGAAGGGAGGAGGCCCATAAGTTCTCTGTTGGTTAAAGGCACTCTGGCATCATGGCTCAGAGTTAAGCTTGCTCTTTTCAAATCTGTACACCCAACTTGTCAGTCACCTTAACCATGTCAGAGGATGTCCAGGTGACCCAGATGTTGCCTGGGTGAGGGGACTGGGTAAGGATGAGCACCTCTGAAAATAGGGATCCCACCAAAGCCTACCCCGCTCTGTAGTTACTGGAGAGTAACATGATAGAGCAGTTCCTGGTGTTTCTAAATGAGAGGACTTAATTTTAAATGGGAAAAAGTTAACCACAGACCTTTTCTCCAATAAACAGTCATTAAAATACAGGCCCCCAAGTCATTAATATGCCAGCATCTAAGAACCTGGGAAGGCCGTGGAAGGCATTCGTTGGCCAGGATCTTGGGGGTTTTGTACTCATTCCATTGTGTACCCATTCACCCCAAGTGCCTGGCATTGACAAAAATCCTCTCCCCCAACTCTGCTCCTGCTTGGGTTTCTGGAAACTAGGCAGTCCTCTTAAGCTTTTCTGAGGCCACCAGCAGAGGGGTCTGAGCTAATTGCTCCCTTGAGTATAGGGGTGGCCCGTTGTCACTTGCCCCCTTGATGCTACTGCATCCCTTCTATGCCTGGGAAGGACATCGCTCTCCTCTGCCTGTGCACACAGGACCCCCCGCACCCCACACTTCCAACCCAGGGGTCCAGTCTGGCTTCCTGTGTGAGCCCCCTGGCTCCCAGAACCCAATGGTCTCAACATCCTTCATTAAATCAATCCTGGAGGCTCTGGATAGTTCTAGGAAGAGGTGGCTTCACCAGGTGGAAAAGCAGAGAAGGTGTGAGGCCAGGAGATACCCCCACCCCACAATTCTGAGTTTCTGTTTTTCTGCTTTTACCGCCCACCTCTGTTCTCCAGCCCCTTCTTCCTCCCTTCCTTTCATCACCATTTCCTGATTTGGTCTTCTGGGGGTGCCCTAGGCCAGCCCATGCCTCCTCTGGGTGCCCCAGCCTCAGCTTGGCACAAAGTGGGGTTCAGTAAGAGTATGTGGGATGTCTGTTTGGGCAGGTGAGTCAATGAAGGAACTGCCATACTTGTGATGCTAGACGGGAGTCTCTGGGGACCGAGGAGCTTTAGGCACGGGTGGAGGGTGGGTTTCATTTCACTGAGGGGGAGTGGGCATCGCCCCACTCCCGGCCCCATTTGAGCTGGGCTTTGCTGGTCCTGCCCCTTCATTCACTCAGGCGTCCATCCCGTCATCCAACAGTTGATCCTTACTGAGCGAGCCCACGGCCCGGCCCCGGCTCGGCCCCGGCATCCCTTAGCCCGTCCCTTGATGGCCTCTGCCTCCCCGGGAGGGCTGGCCGGGGGGTGGCTTCCGCTGAGGGCGGCCTTGTGCTGTGTCAGGTGCTGGAGCAGTGGCCTCCAGCTCTGCAGAGAAGGCCGGCAGAGGGGTGTGAGGGGTTGGCCTGGTCTGCCTTCCTTGGGCCAGTTGGCCCCCGTGACCTTTAACTTAAACCCTGGAGCTCACTTGAAGCTGCCCATCACCAGGGCTCTGCCCCCTCCTGCCCCTTCTGCCTCCGACCCCCATCCCGTAGCTGAGTGCTGATGGCTGCCCTGGCCCCCCGCCCTACAGCTCAGGACTGAGGCGGGGGCACAGGAACTGCTGTGGTGTGTGTGCCCCTCGGGCTCCGGCCACAAGGGTCTCCCTCTTGAGTTGGGGTCTGTGACCTGGAGCTCTCCCTCCACGATGCCTTCCTCCCCGTGGGGCTAAATCTAGCCCCTCTGCAGCCCAGGCGATGGCTGGGAACCTCCAGGGAGCTCTGCAGGCTCTACCTCTGCCTGGTTGCCCACCTGCTCTGCTCTGTCTGGTGGCCCGCTTGACCCACCTGCAGCTCTGCTTGCCGTAGTCCGTCCGTCGCCTGGCCTGACCCACATGCCCCTTCTCCATGCCCGAATCGCCGGGCTCCTGACCCTCTGGACCTCAGCTGTCCAGCCCTCTGCCTAGCTGGTTGGTTTTCCTTGCTGAGCCCGCCTCTGTGGTTACCTGGCCCTGCCTGCTTCCTCATCCATCTCCCGCTTGCTTGCCTCTGGGCCTTGTGTTGGGTCCAAATGCCCCTCCTCCAGCGTAAGGAGCCCCTTTCCCTGTGCGGCCAGACAACTGGTCCCCAAGTGCCCATGGGACAGGCCCCTGCTGGTATGCCACCCACCCAACCATCCTCAGATGCCTCTTCCCGTGGGGGTGGGGAGCGACCATGGCTGCAGCCAAACTTCTGCCCTGCCCCTCCCCATCCCCCCAGACCTCTTGTCTCGTCCCCCTGGGTGTTAGCCACAGCCTTTCCCTGTGAGTCCTGGGCTCTGTCGTGCCCCAGGCCTCACGGCTGGTGCGGGGGCTGCCGTCTAGGCCCGCAGCTTCTCCTTCACCTCTTCATGTCATTGCTCATCTCCACGAGCCACCTCCTTCCACCAAAAACCAAGCAGCAGGTGAGACTGGGCTTGATGCCTTTTCGTGTGTGTGTGTGTGTGTGTGTGTGTGTGTGTGTGTGTGTGTGTGTGTGTGTAGCTCTTCTGGAGTGCTAGCCTTGTCGTAATCCTGATCTCCTGCCTCTCCTGCAGGTCAGCCCTGTCCTGGGCACACCGGCTGCGACCTGGCTGGGCCGGCCGAAGAACCAGATGAAGAGGCTGAAGCAGCCCCTGGAGGACCACTGGCCTACACCACCAAGCCTCCCTTGTTGCCCGTTGCCTGGCATCTCAGGCCCAGACCCGTGCCTCTCCACTTTCTCCTGGTTTGGGGTGAGTTTCTTGCTTTCTTGGGACACCAGGATCTCATTAGTTTCTGCTCACACATCTCTATTCAAGAATATACACATTTTGCCTGGGGAGGGGGCCACTACCAAGAGTGAATCTTCTTCTCCACCAATCCCGCGGCCTCAGGGTCTGCAAGCTGCCTGGAGCCAGGACCGTGGCCACATGGAGCCGGCATGGGTGGGGCCCACCCTGGGCAGTGGCAGGCTGTGGGCCAGGCACGGTAAGTGAGGGGTGTCCACAGCTCTGGCGAGAACCAGCGCAGGCCAGGCACACAGTAGGTCCTCAGTGCAGCTTTGCTAAGCATGTGAATGAAATGAAGAGCGGTGCATTTGCCCTCTGGTCTCCAAGGCCTGGCCAGAGAGTCAGCATGGAGACGTGGAAATGGGAAAGCTTGGCTGTCTGTAGAAAGCCTTTCTCCTTGAAAGCCAATGCTATGTCAGCCCTCGTGAGGGTGCTGGGTTCTCACGCACCAGGCTTTGATAATGTCCTTTAATCACAGAGTGGTTTTGAGTGAGTTCTTCTCTCGGCCCCTTTTCCTCACCCCTGAAATTGCAACGAGATGGGAATGTTTGGGTCTGTTTAAATAAAATCAGTAATGGTAGAGAAGAAGAAAGCGGAGGATTACAGCCACACGGTTCACGCCAGCACGAGTCATTTGTTTATCTGTGCTTTACTGATTCAAGACGCATGGATGGAGCCATGGGGGCTCCAGGCTGGGGCTCTCCTGGGGTGCCTAAAGCCAGCTTTGCCTCAAGGACCAGAGGGCCTAGCGGGGTTCCCTGGGAGTTCCCACGTAGTTACGTGGCCCCTGTGGCAGCTAAGCAAGGTGGACAGGAAGTAAAGGAAGCTCGGCTGAGGGCACTTTGCTTTTTCGGGTCCCAGGAGCCGACAGCGCAGGGGGCTGGGCTAGCGAGGCCAGCTCTGTGCCTGTGGGGCCTCGTGTCTGATGCTCCTGGGGTAGCCACTGGGGTGATGCATGAGGCCAGTTAGACTCCTGGGGTGGTCCGGGTGGGAGATGGGGAATGGCCCGGCGAGGCTAACTCAAGCCCACAGACATTGATGGAGCCTCGGGTGGGTCCCCCAGTGCCCTTGGGCCAGATGCCAGCGTCCCCCTTGGTGCCCACACGCAGGGTCTGTGGGAGGGGAGGCGATGAGCAGGGCAGGGGGCCCCTCCTCCGGGTGCCGCAGACCCCCACGCTCCCTGCGCGGTCCTGGGTTTCTGACTCCGCTTCCGTAATGCCCTCTCATCCCACAGCGGTTTCAGAGACAGGTCTGCCCTGCCCTTCTCCACTGAAAGGGAGATGGGGTGTGGATGTTATTTTTAAACAAAACCCGTCAGTGTGGACAGCAAGGGGCGGAGGTGTCCGAACCTGGGGACTGTCGTCTTTTGCCTGCTTGTTTTTGTTCCCTGGAGAGCTAGTCAGGCTACCTTGAGACAGGGAGTGTGTGCCCAGGGCTGAATCCAAGGAGGGGCACCAGGAAGGCTCTGCCCTGTGATATTTACTCCGTAGCTGGCATTTGCTGAACCATTGCAAGCAGAGTGATGTGGCAGAGAGAGAGGCCTAGGCAGGAAGGTTTACATAGGGCAGGATGCAGGTCTGGGGGGGCGGTGGGGGGGGGGGTCGCATCCAGAGCTTGCCAGACGGATCCACGTAGCTAGTCTGAGCCAAGTGCCCATGGTTTCCGGAGTCTTCCGGAGGGACATCTCAGCACTCCCTCAAGGTGGGCTGAGCTGAGGGCCAGAGTCAAGGTGAAGGCAGGTGTCCAGCCCACCCCAGCCCCTGCCAGCCCCCTGCCCCTCATCCTCCACCGCAGTGTGGGATGGCATCTCTTTGGGCCTACTTGTGTTTCAGGTACACTTGTGAGTGTTCCGTCTCAGGCAAATATATGTTTTTGTGTGTCACACGTATTTTGGGTTTTGTGTGTCACTAAGCAGAAAATAAAGACAAGATCAAGTATTCTTCTCAGTTAAAGGAGTTAAAACAGAACATCACAAATCAGCCTTGTAGCCAAACATCCCAGGCGTTGTTAAGTGTTAAAAGAAGTGATCATTTTCAGGAAAATTCTTTTTTGGAGGGATTGGCCCATTCCTGAGCGGTAAGCGGTGGTTAGGAGCCCCTGACGGGCCCGACAGAGGGCAGAGGGCCCTGTCACTGTGGCGGGAGGGGTTTCTCTGTCCATTTGTTACGAGCTAGGCTGGTCCCTAGGGCCTGCGCCTAGCTGGATGCTTCCAGGAGGGCACAGATGTGCGGAGGAGACGGTGGTCTTGTCTAGAAGCTGGCACTCCCATCCCCTGGCCTCCCCCTGGGCGGGTGGGAAATGGAGCCCAGAGCAGAGCTCAGCCTCTGTGCTCGTGGAAAGACACAGAGTGCTCCCTCGGCCCCGTGTTTTCCCACCCGCAGGTTGCTTGGGGGGCTCACTGCAGCTTTCGGGGCCCCTGACCTCGTGCCTCCTGACTTGTGATTCAAACCCCAAAAGCATTTCCAAGCACATTTCTCCAAATAATGTCCAAAACCTGGCAAGACTTAAGGGCAACAGGATGCATGTGTTTCTTATTCGTTTACATGAAGTAACTTCAGTGTGTTTTTGTGAGCAATCTGACTTCCAGAAAGAGAAAAAAATTGACCCATCTTTAATGAGCTTGCTAATGAATTTTTCCTTGAAAAGAAGAAGGCGGCTTTACACAGAAGGGGGTGTGGAGGGAGACAAATTAAGGTTCCACAGGGTTAAAGGGCAGTGGGCGATGGGGAGAGTAGCACTGTCAGCGGAATTGAGAAAGGCCTGCAGCTCTGGGGGCAGTTTCTCTTTAGAAGACCCGTGTTTTTTTTTTTAAAGATATTTATTTATTTGACAGAGAGACACAGCGAGAGAGGGAACACAAGCAGGGGGGAGTGGGAGAGGGAGAAGCAGGCTTCCCGCGGAGCAGGGAGCCCGATGCGGGACTCGATCCCAGGACCCTGGGATCATGACCTGAGCCGAAGGCAGACGCTTAACGACTGAGCCACCCAGGCGCCCCTAGAAGACCCGTGTTTAACACAGTATGAGTCCGTCCCAGGGGCGGTCCCCCTTCGCTCCGCTGCTTGGAGCCCTGTCCTCTCTCCTAAATGGTGAACAAGGAAGCATCGCCTGGTCTCCCCCATCTCTGGTGTGAGCAGATGGACAATTCTGGAGAAGAGTTGTATCTTCCCAAATGAGGCCATCTCCATTGTAGGGTTCCCATTTTGAAAAGGAGACAGGAGTGTGGGCAGGGAAGGAGGGATGGCTCTCTCTATGGTACCTGGTTCCAAGGCGGCAGCCCCGAGTCCTGCATGGCTTTGAGAATTCGGGCCCTTAGGGAAGTCTGAGGGACGGGCTGTTGCAGAGGCAGCTCTCGTCCTCGGTGTGGAATGAGTCCGTGTTTCAGAGCCAGGAAAGAACTCAGAGAGCCCTTGGGACTCTGTTGGGAGGAGGTCTGCCCCCAGAGGTGTTCCTCCCGCCCCCTGGCCCTGGTACCCTGCACCACAGCAGGACGGAGCAGCACCATCGAGAGGGGTCCCAAGTTCAGTTGGATCCAGTGGAAGCGAGTGTTGCGGGGGGGGACTCCTCATCTGTGCCAGGTTGAGAGACCCATCTTTGAGGAGCCCATACCTCCTGGAATTTCTAGTGCCTTCTGGATTTTAGACCCTCGGTCCCTTATCCTGGTCTTCACTGTGGAAAACTGATCCCTCTAGCCATGCTTTTGGGAACCGACTGATGAGAAAGTCTCCAGAAAAATCTGCGTTTGTCTTCTCAGCTGCCCCTTCCCCCAGGTCGCGGGCTCATGAGGGTACAGGGGCCAGAGCAGGTGCTGAGGAGCCGAGGCTGGGGTGGGCCCTCACTTGGGATGCGTGTGGGAGGGGAACTAATCAGGGGAGAGGAGGCTGGTGGAGGGTGTAGTTGTGGGTCTCTTAATTGCTCTCCAGTTTCTTTGGGCTTAAAAACAATCCAGATGGAGAGTTCTTAAGTCCCCCACCCTGGGGGTCTGGGGAGAGAAGGCTGCCCACCACCTTTTGCCTGGCTCCTCCGAGCAGTGAATAGGGTCTTTGGCAGGGGCTTAAGGAGGAGACTCTTAGCCTGGGAGCTCCCAGGGCCATTTGAGGCTGAACAAAGGCGCAGGCAGAAAGGAATGTGGGGGCGCCCCCCATGGAGAACAGCCACCTGGGCATAATCGGGAGGGCTGAGTGCACATGAGCTTTCCCAGGTCCTGTGAATACATTCTTTCAATAGAAGGTGCCTTTTCTTCAGATGAAAAGGAGAAAAGCTCAATCACCTTCCCTGGACCAGAGTGTGTGTGTGTTCCCTCGGGGGCCGCGGTGGCCCCTTCCTGTGTGTGTGTCGGGGGCTGCGCCGCGCAGACAAGAGGCTGCACAATGACACGGTTAACCAGTCACCCCTTCAGCGCAACCTCGGACATGCTCCTGCTCCTTGGCTCTAGGGCTTCTCTGCACGTTTCTCAGGAGGAAGAATCCTTGCGCCTCTGCCTGTAAACAAGAATTGGATCAAACCGGACCTGATGCCCGAGAGAATGCCGGACAGGCAGATGGGGCCAGGGGAGACAGGACTCCAGGGTGGGAGGGAGGGGGCCGGGAGGAGGGTCGGAGGGGCTGAAGGCTGACCACCTGTCTGTGCCCGCCGTGCGGGCCCACAGTGGGGTGGCTCCTTCTGCCTCCCCCCCCCTCCGCCCTGCCCTGTCCCATTCTCCGGGCCTGCCTGATGCTGGAGGCAGGATCGCTCCTCCCAGCTTAAGAAATTGGGGGCCAGTGTTCGCAGTTAAGGAGGATGATGGGGGTCAGCACGGTTCACAGGCCCAGGGGCAGCCCCAGGCAAGGGGACCCTGCCAGATGGAGGGTAAAGAGTTTGCGCCACCACGGCCCCCAGCTGTCCTGAGGCTCTAGTCCCTCTGGGGCAACTGGGGCAGAAATCCCTGCTGTGAGAGGAAGGAGTCCCCATCTCAGTCTTGGCCGGTACTTCTTGCTGCTGGCTTCTGGGCCTCAGTTTCCCCATCTGTAAAAGGAGGCAGTAGCCTGTCAGCTCTGCATATTCTCCAAGGCAGAAGGAGCATAGGATGTCAGTTTGGGAAAGGCAAGGGCCCTGTTTCACCAGAGGGGGTGGTCGGTGGAAGGCCTTAGGTGTCCAGACTGGGCCCCCACTCGCCTCCTGGCTGGGAGCAGGGCACACTCCCACTCCCTAGGACTTGTCATTCGGAGGAGAAAATTCTGAATGGTTGCTTTGGACACGGCCTTTTGGAGAGCTTGTTCCAGCCCATGCTTAGCCCCAACTCTGGGTGTGACCTTGGATCCTGTCTCTAGCCTTCTGGCCTCAGTTTCCCCATCTGTAACAGGGGGCAGTGCAGGATCACGGTCAGCTGAGGGCCCTTGGAGCTCTGGGATTTCCTTCCGGCTGCCTCAGTGGTCCTCTGTGGTTTGTTTATTTGCCGGGTCTTTAGAGTCAGAGAGTCAGAGATTGCTGGTGCCCTGCCATCCCGCCCCCTCCGCTTTAGAGAGGACGCAGAGAGGGCTGGCGCCCCGTTTCGGAGAGCAGGCCCTGGTGTGAAACCCGCTGCCGGTGGCTGGCCCCCTCTTGACCAGCGCGGGCAATGCGGTCACAGTCGTTAGGGAGTCGCCAAGGTCCGCTTTTTACGAACAAGATCCCCATAGCGCTCACGCCCCCGTCTAGCTCCCAGGGGCTGCCTGCGCACTCCGGGGCTGGGATGGCATTTTACGGCGCATTTTTTCCAAATGGGTGGGCCGCCAGCCAAGCCTGGAAAACCTTTCTGGGCTGTGGAGTGGTCACTGTGTAATGAGACTGGCCCCGTGGCGGCAGTCCCAGGGGAGTGTGGCTGGCCGTGCCATCCCCTGTGGCTCACCCCGTGCCCTTTGGTCCCGAGACCCTGGGCAACACCTCTGCTGGTGCCCTCGCCCGCTTAGCTGAGAACTTCCTGAAAAAGCCACCAGGGTGGCAACTTCTGGAAAAGTGCTCGGTAACCAGGCCTGTGCAGGCTGCCTGTCCCAAGACGCCTCTAGCCAGCCCTTTGTGCTTTGGCATGTGCTTGGTAAATAAGCGCACAGAGCCCTCAGTCGGTCCCACACCTGGTTATTGCCACGGTGGGCTGCAGCCTTTGTTTTGTGACCTTGGTTGTTATAATACCTGGGAACTGAAATGAGGAATCGAGAAATTGCCAGCCTCAATTAGACCAGCGACTGCCTTTCCCGAGGCTGCCTCCACCACTCCAGCCATTAACCGTAAACATACACCAAATAGGCCCTAATTCTCTCTAATTGCCCACTCCTGAAGCAGAGAGTGAGGTTCCAGGAAGAGGCATATGTAAACATCCTCTATGGCCCCGCCAACTGAAATTAGAGGGCTGATGGGGGCCAGTGAGAGAGGGGACGTGATTTCAAAAGATGTCCCAATTACCTCTCCCATTTTCATAAATGGGTCCATAATGTCCAGGCCCCAGTCTTCACAAAGGTACAGGAAATTAGCTTTGCAAAGAGCCTGCATCTGTAAGGGAAGCTGTAGGAGGGTGGTCTTTGCTCAACAGGTAGGAAGCATGAGATCTGAGGCGAGGCTGATTATTTGTATAAACTACGGGCTGTGTTTCTGGAAATCACCGTTTGATTGAAAATAATCCTTTTGTGTCTTTCCCAGCACTAAATATCCATAAGTTCTTTGTACCATAGGCATGCCAGACCCGTTAGGTCCTGTTGGCCTCCAGAAAAGAGTAACTTTTAAAATCTTGAGATGAAGAGCTAGACTTTTTTTTTTGAATTTATTAAAAAAATTTTTTTTTTTTTTTAATTTGAGAGCGAGAGAACACAAGCAGGGAAGAGGGGCAGGGAGAGGGAGAAGCAGGCTTCCCACTGAGCCAGCTGGGAGCCTGTTGTGGGGCTTGATCCCAGGACCCTGGAATCATGACCTGAGCTGAAGGCAGTTGTTTTATCGACTGAGCCCCCCAGGGGCCCCAAGAGCTAGACTTGGCTAATCCTGTGAAGCCACAGAGGATGTTTCTGGGGCGTCCACCAGGGCTCCCTGTGTGGATCATGAGCTCAGGGCAGGCATTTAGGAGGCCTGAGATCAAATGCGGGGGGCAGTTCTTTCCCTGGACCCCGTAAGGAAGCCCTGTGTTTTCCTTTGGCTCCAGACAGTGACTCATCTCTGCATATTCTCCGACACATCTGTTACCGTTCCAGCCCGTCGCTGCGTTATCATAGATCACGGCCTTGGTTTCAAGGCACGACTTGGCCAGGACTGCGTCTTCATAGAGCAGCCTGGAGTCTGCATGAAAGTGAATCCAGGGCCGTCAGGAGCTCCGGGGGCTCATGGAGCCCCGGGGGCAGAAGCAGGAAAACAAACAAGCAAACACAGATGCCCCGAGCTACCTGATTTCCTTGGTTCTATTAAACACACCAAATACTCACCCCGCCCCAGCCCCTTATTCCCACAGGAAATGGCAGTGCGGGGGGGGGGGGGGGGGTCTGGCTGTGTGTTCAGGGTCTGAAGTCCCATTGTCACCTTAGGACTGTGGTCATGAGAAGGGGGCCACCCCAGGGGCTCACAGGCTCCCCGGGAAGGCTGGAAACTATCTCAGGTGGTATCCAGCTCCAAATGGGGGACCCAGAGCGTGCGCATCGCCAGAGTCTGCCCTTGGTCATATACTAGCTTATGACTGTTTGGTTAACATTTATTATTTTTTTTAAGACTTTTGGTTTTTTGGTTATAAAATCAACTGGTTGGGGGGGGAAACAAGGTTTGGGAAGCTCAAGGCCAGGGAAGGAATTTTTAGGAGGATTTGGAAGCAAGAGGTGTACCCCGTGGTGTCCCGGCCAAGTCTAGGGAGGCATAGACAGTGGAGGGGACCCCACAGGGCTTAAGTTGGGGCAGGGGGAGTTGCAGAGGGCCTTGTCCTACCTTGGGGCTCCCTGCCTGCACCCCCTCTTGCCCTGACCTCTGGCTCTGCCCTCACCCACCTCACAGTGCTGTTTAGACCTCAGCTGTGGCAGACCACATTTTGGCCACACCTATGTACTTTCACTAGACTCTACTGAACGTGTGCTCAAAATCAGCTCACTTAGAAAAATCTGTTTTGTTTTAACAAATAGACTTTTTTTTTTTCCCCCCGAGCAGCCTTAGGTTTCAACTGGAAAAAGGGAATGGCAAGCACAGAGAATTCCTATCCCTGCCCCTGTCCCCGATTTCTCCTGTCACTAACAGCTTGTGTTGTGTGGCACATTTGTTACAACTGATCAGCCCATCGCGGATACGTCCTTATGAAATAACGCCGGTGCTTATGTCATTCTTTGGGTCCCCTCTTTTGTCCAGTCTGTGTGTTTTGACAGTAACTACTGTTACTGAACTCACATTTTTTTTTTTTTTAACTTTAAGGCAAATTCTTGAAACACAAGACTTGATGTGCCTGGACACAGCTTTTTGTGGTGCTGATTAAAATGTGAACATAATTGTCAAAGTGAAGGTATCTCTCCAGGCACCACGATCTTCTATCCTCTGATGTGTGTGCCATGGTTTTAGGACACACTGTCCATTACAGACCCCACAGCCCATGGCCCACAGCCTACTGCTCTAGTCTTACCCACACTCACGCCGCGCCCCATGGGCTTCTGCCTGAGCACGTGCTGTGCCTCAGCACTGCCCTTCCTCCGTGGTGGGATGCCCTTCCAGGGAGTCTTCGCCCCACCTTTTTGGTGTCCAGCTCAGCTGTCATTCATGCCGTGGCTCTGAATCTTTGGGCTCCACAAAGTGGCACTTAGCTCCACGCGTGTAGCACTCAGCCAAGGGCTCTTGGGTCAGGAGCCACATCCCTGCCTCTGGGCCTGCCCCCATCTACTCCGTCCGTAGCTGTAGCTGGGGTGGGGAGCTTGGTGGGTGAGTGAGCACGCGGGCCAGGGTGCTGAAAAGAGAAGTGCTTGATTTCACCAATTCCACACTTGCTAGAAGGTTGGGGAGTCCCTGCTTTAGTTGGGTGAGGTTCCATCCCGGTGACCCCACGCTCTCTCATTCCAGTTGAAGACACTGTCCGGAATCCTCCATGGAAGGAGAGCCCTCGACACACGACCCAGCACCCTCCAGCGTTCAAATCGTAAGTTGCCGGAGTGTGGGGGACACATCTGTGGGCTCGTCGCTGAGGGTGGGGGGCTGCCATCCAGAGCACATGGCCAGGCGAGCCCTGTGGGAGGGCCTGGTGAGCACTGGCCAGGAGGCCGCTCATGGGGGGTGGGTGCCCAGCGAGCCAAACTGATTGCCGACCTGGGGGGCTTGTGTTCTAAGGCAGGACCCCCAGCCTCCTTGTGTTGTCTCTGTGGCAAAAGAATTCTATAGGCGGCTTCGAGTGCCGGACCCCCAAAGAATTCCTTCTCTCTCGCTCCTCTCAATGAATGGCCCTTTCATTATTGAGTGTCCCTTTGGCTCTTGTGCCCCAGGGCAGACTAGGATGGAAGTGCCCTTGTGAGCTGGGGGGCTCTTCAAAGGGCCAAGGAAAAAACGCGGGCCGAGGGACCAGCCTCTCAAATGGGCTTCGAGCTCCAATGACCTTCGCTCACCCCCTTGAAATGTCTGGAAAACAGAATGGGCAGATTTTCTGTCTTCAAAGTTTCCGGCTAAACCTCTTCAAGTTCTTTATTGTTTGGGACTGAGACACTCAGCAATGGTAATGGGTAGTTTCTTTTGTATTTGCCTTGAAAGGCCAAAATATTTTCATATTGCTACAGACAAAGCCGTCTATTTAGAAATGAACGCCATGTCTGTCCTTTCCCACTGGGGAGACTATGTACGACGTGTGTGTGTGTCTCTATGTACTCTAGGGTCTTGAAACAGGTTTCTCATGGGGATGGCCATTCACTGGGGTCCAGTGGGACATGCCTGCCCTGCCAAGGGGGCCCGGGGAACCCGGCCCTAATTGCACATCTGTCCCAGTTGGTCTGGGACGTGAGCCCCGGGAGGGTCCGGCTGCTCTAACATTGACTCTGCCCTGTGCCTACATCTGCCACGTGTGTGTGTTAGGGACTGTGGCTTGTGCCTTGGTGGTCAGCTTGGTGGGAGGAAGCAGAAGGGTCCAAGATACTGTGGACGTTCTGTTTCTCTTGTTGGGAGGTCATTTCACGGGTGTCTGTTACATGATCCATATAAGGGCCCACGGATGGATGAATGAAGGCAGAAAGGAGTGGATCGACAAATAAATAGGTTAAAGAAGGGAGCAAGCCAGGATGAGCGTGCCATGAACGAGATCCCGTCTGATGCCTAGGACATTGATCTCTAAATAAAGTATTGAATCACCATGTAAAGAGAGCCCCACATGAGCTGATACTCAGTCCTCATGGACCCAGGAATAGGTGTAAATGAAAATAGATAGCCCCTGAAGTTTACCAATAGAAGAATAAAATGTAAATAGAAGAGAGAATGACCGAGGGGTGGAAATGCAGAAGCCGGTGGCCACAGGACCGTGTCGTGTGCTTACACAGTCGCTAGGAGGCCAGATCTTCTGGGCAGTGTTCTGATCACAAATGATAGGAATGATAATGATCCTTTTGGGCGGGAGGAAACTTCTGGAGGGATGGATAGGCTTCGGACAGGATGGTGGTGATGGGTTCGTGGTGCGCACTGTGTGTCAAAAACACGAAATTAAAAAGCGTAAAGAGAAGGTCACTGAAAGGACTCCCAAAGCACTGGGGAGAACAAGAGGATGAGTCCCATCAAAACGAGCAGGTGCAAGAGAGCGAGAGAGGGAGCAAGTGATTGGGAGGGAGAGGGAACACGACAAAACATACATGGTAAACGGAAGGAAGAACGAGCATTTTCTTAAATCAGGGGAGGCACAAATACATAAGGAGGACTACGTCAGGTGATCATAAACCAGGAATTAGGACGAGTCCACGCTTGGGCTCCTGGCATAGACAAATAATTAGCAGGCGAGAGTTCAAAGAAGAGGTTAAAAAAAAAAAAAAAAAAAGAAGAGAGAGGACCCAGGACACCCAAGAAGAGAGGTAACTTTTACCAAAAGTTGTCTAACTCCAGGCACACATAAAGAAATAAATGAATACAGAAATGAAAGAAAGCCAAAGAGAGAGAGTGAGCAGTGGAAACTCTTGGACCCGGCTGGGAGCATGGCGTGAGGGGCTTGTGTCCCCCGGTCCTGGGGCCTGAGTCTGTCCCGTGAAAGGATAAAAGGGAGAATAAAGTAAAATATCCAAATAAAAATCAAGAAGCGTGGAGGGAAAAAACGACAGGTACTCGGTCCAGAAATACAGGAACGGGTGAATAAATACATACAGGTAGACAGTGGTAGGATTCGTGGTGGAAGGCTGTCAGGCAGCAAAGGTTATGGTGAGTCCAGTTCTACAAGCCAGGGTGCTATCAATAAAATAAGACGTCTCTAAATCAACAAGTAATTCAGGATCCAGAGAAACAGACGGGGCAGAGTAAAGGGGAGCCGGGCCTATGGGCAGCAGGGTTGTCATTAATCCCATCTGGCCCCCAAAGCCCCTGGAGAAGGAAGGCAGGCAAGTGGAGGGGAGAAGCAAAGCCGAGCAGGAGGGAAGGACCGCTCTCAGGGTGTTGGCAACCCAACGGAGAGATGGGGGGGTAGGTAGGGGAATCCACGGGAGAGGGTGGGCTCAAACCGCGCATGGGCCAGAGTCTGGGCTTTGGCTTCCATTAATAGTGGAGTAAGTAGCTGATAAGGAAAAAGAAAACAGGAAGGGAGAATGGTTAGAAGGAAGGAAGGAAGGCAGGCACACACAGAGGAGCCGCAGGGGTCGGGGATGGCCATTTGCAGGTGGCGTTAGGATTCATCGGTCTGGGCCACTGAGCGCCAAAGATGGAAAGAACGCAAGAAAGGAGAGAGAGAGAGAGAGAAGCAGAAGAACGGGCTGGGGCTGGGGCAGACGGTTGACTACAGATTAGCATGTTTGCAGGTAGGTGTGTTTGCCTCCAGGAGCGTAGCGAGAAGGACCTGAGGGATCCATGAGCGCCCTAGGGAAGGAGTGAAGGAGAAAGAAGGTTTGTGTTAACCGATGAGGAGGGTGCCTGATTTCCAAAAGAATGAAAGGCAGTGAGAACGATTGAAAGAAAGGGTGGGAGAGAAAAAAAAAAAAACAATCAAGATGGGGAAAAAAGATAAAAATTAAAAAAAAAAACTCTAAAAAATAATAAATAAATAGGTCAAACAGTTAGGTCTAGGAGAGGGAAATGGCTTAGCACCAATTCATCCACATTCATTCAGATCTGGGGCCCGGAGTTTATAAATGATAAAAACAAGACCATAAACAAAAAGACTGACACATGTAGGGATGCGGGAGAGAGGCTCACGCTGGAGCCAAGAACGCGAGCAGGCGCCGTGAGCCCAGAGTTACGACTGATTCAAAACTGGGCTCTGGAGACGGTGAAATGAATCCCAGACCAAATCAGCAGTACGAGGAATTAACGAACAAAAGGGAGCCTCGTGTGCACGGGCGCTGCGAAGGCTCCGGGAGCCACAGATTATGGTTAATCCAATTCTGTGCACCTGCGGTCCATAAATAAAAGAATAAATATTGAAATAGAAGGGTGACAGAAAGAACGAATGGACACCGGAATGACTGAATTAGAAATGGCGATGCTTGGGACAGCCAGGAGAGCGCTGCCCTTGGGATCTTCACTCATCAGACTCCGTGCACCTGAGCCCCCCCCCGCCCCGCCCGCCCGCCCCCAGCCAAAAGATGCAGGGACCCAGTGCAAAGGGGAAGAGAGAGGAGGAGAGTGGAGGGAGACGAAGTGAACAAGGAAAGGGGGGGAAGGACACCAGAGAAGAGCACCGTGGGGGTGTCCGAAGGAGCAGGCTCTGTTCGGATGAGCCATGAGCTCCTCAGTCCTAAGGTTTCCAGGGCGAGGGAAGTGGAGGGAGTGGAAAAAGAAGCAAAAGATGGAAAAGGGAAGATGATAAACGTGAAAACAACCACAGTGACAAATGGAGAGTTGGGAGAGCTTGTCTGAACAGGGATTATAATTAGTTTACATACACTCTCCTTAAATAGATAAATGCATTACCCCTTTCAGAGAATAAATGAAAAATAAAGGAAATACCCAGCCCAAGGACAAGGCTGCATCTTCTAGCACCGTAATAAAATAGATGCAGCGGAGGCCCATAAATGAATGCATAAATAAATACCTTAAGTGTAAAAGCTGACTCCGTGCCAGGGAGAGAGATTGCAGATATGCACAGCGGCGTGGTGCTCGGTGTGCAGGGGCCGGGGGGGGGGGGGCTTACCTGGTGGTTCTCTCACAGGGGAGCAGGAGTAGAAGGGAGTGTCCCGGGTCGGGGGGAGTGGACTCATCCTCTCGTGGGGAGGTGCAGGGGACAAAAATGCTAGATGAGCACATAAATAAGGAACAAGGAAGGAAGGAGGCAGGCAGGCAGGGGCTTCTCGGGCCCTGAGTCCAGGCAGCTGAACCGGACGGTGAGAGGAGGGACGGCTCTTGGCCTGTGGTGTGCTTGGTGTGAGCACGTCGCCTGGCAGGGAGGAACTGGCTCAGGAAGACCCTGGCTGCGGAGGGCCAGGGCGCTATCCTGGCTGTGTGGGCCATTTCACCTCATTTCTCTGATCCTCAGTTTCCCCATCTGTAAACTTGGAAGGGCATCAGCTTCCTGCTTGGATTGATCGTGGGGGCAAATGCCGTCCCACCTGTTGGCAGTGCCCTGTCCGTAGCCCTGGGCAGGCGGAGGGGTTTGTGCCCTGGCTCTTGCAGAAGGCTGGGTGAACAAGGGGTGTGGGGCCGGGTGGGTGTCTTGGCTGGGTCAAGAGCCTCCCTTCACAGGGGTCTGGGCTGGGTCACCTGTGAGGGAGGCTCTTCCCGCCAGGGGGCAGCAGAGGGTAAGGGAGCAGGAGGCCCTGGGCCTGGTGGGCCCCGCCACGGGGCTGTCGGGGTGTGGTGCCACGCCTATGCAGAGGCTGTGTAGGGAAAGGCGGGCAGGTTAGAACGGAGCCAGGAGTGCCTGAGAAGGTTGACCCAGGAGCCCAGTGACCCAGGTGCCGGAGGCAAGTTACCAGAAGCCTTGTTCATGAAACATTCTGAAATGTGCCCCGGCGCCTGGTCTTCTAGGGGGTG